GCACTTGGCCAAGTCCTCGTGGAACGAGGCCGCCTCCATTCTGACGTCCTCTTGGCGCTGGCCGCGAACGCGCCGTGCGGCCAGGCTGTCTTGACGTGGCCCCTGGGCGAAGAGATGCCCCAGCCCGCGGCTTTTGGCCAATCGAGCGCCCCCCACGCGCGCGCTGCTTCTGGCGCATTCGAGACCACGCTCTCGCCAGCAGCGGCACAGGTCCACTGGGCCTCTGCCTCCCATCGGGCTTCGGGGGGAGCGCGATGGTGATGGTCCAGGGCTCGCCGCAGGCTGGGGCCCTCTCCCGCGCGTTGAGCGCGTCCGCCAGCCCTCTGCGACACCTCGTCGCCTGCTTCCAGCGGGAGCCCGGGGTGAAAGTTGTCCCAGCTGAGCCCCGCGCTCTGGCCGAGGAGCCTGGCCACCGCCTTGACCTGTCCGATGGTAGTTGGCGGGGGCTCGCATGTGGCCTGCCAACTCGGCGGACAGTGGCGGACCTCTCGGCTTGGATGGCACCAGGGCGGGAGCCAGTCCTCTGGGACTCGGCTGAGCGCTGCTTGGCCCGCCAACGCCGTGGACTGCCCGATGTGGGCCCGAGAACGCCTGCGGGCTCCGCCTGGACCTTTTCAATAACCTTATGTGTCGCCGAGCTCGACCTTTTGAAGGCCTCCTCGGTGAGCTGCTGACGCCTCCTCTTGCTCTCTGGATGTCCGCTTTGGTTTGCGGATCGATGATGACCTGCATCTCGCCCAAAGTGTACTGTAGGCCCAGTGGCTGTCTGATTTGTAAGTTCATCCCGCAGCGCTTTTATCTGGCCGGCCTCGAACATGGTGACCCCTTCCGCTGTGAACTTGGGAAGGAGGCGCTGGGTCGCTTCCCATAGCTGTAGGTTTCTGCGCTCCTGAAACCACCTCGGGCTGGTGCTGAAGGCCAGCTCCCATCGTCTCATGGCCAGGTGGCATAGTGGCAGCCACCACTGGGTAATGGCCGACGCTTGGTCCTTGCGGCTGGCGCGGTCCTTGGCCTCTGGCGGGATCTGCGTGGTCCTGGCTTCCTCTGCTCGCTGTTTGCGGAACGTGGGCCTCCTCGCTGGGCAGACCCTTGAGTGCGATGAGCGTGTCCTCCGCCTGCGTGGGCCGCTGATTCGCCGCCGCCCCGGAGTCCGCTGCGGTGGGGCTGGAGCAGGTGGGGCCAGAGGACCAAACAGCAGCACCGATGCATCGGAGGTTGCTCCACGCCGATGGCGCCGAGGCATCGCCGACGCCGCCGGTGCACCGCGGCCGCGTGGCCGACGCATCGGCGGTGCGGCGCGATCCTCGGACCCCGTCTGGTTGCTCGGGGCCCCCTTGCGACGGCCTCCACCCTGCCTAGGATTGGGTCGGGCATGTCCCCCTACTAGCCTACAGGCGGATTTTGGACGACAAATTAGCCTGGCGAAGAACCCAACCATATGCAGTTGTCAGTACCGCAGCTGCGGGTTTCATCTTCAGTGGAACTCCCCATAGGACTACGGAACGTGTGAGGGGTGTGTCGAGATGGGTGCCACTGGGGCGTTCGGCGAAGCTCCCTATGGGGACATGAAACACGCGCGGGGCGTGCCGACATGGGTGGCGGAAACGCATGTGAGGGCCGCCACTGGGGCCTCCAGTGGAGCTCCCTATGGGTCCCCGAAACATGATGCTGCTGCGGGGGGGGTGCCGGGATGGGTGGCGGAGACGCATGTAAGCGCCGCTACTGGGGCCTTCGGTGGAGCTCCCTATGGGGCCACGAAGCGCGTGAGGGGTGTACTGGGATGTGTGGCGGGGACGCATGTGAGCGCCGCCACTGGGGCCTTCGGTGCAGCTCCCTATGGGGCCACGAGACGTGTGAGGGGTGTGCCGAATTGGGTGCGAATGGTGACGCATGCGGGCGGTGCCACTGGGGCCTTCGGTGGAGCTCCCTATGGGGCCACGAAACCTGTTGTTGTGAGGGGCGTGCCGGGATGGGTGACGGGGACGCATGTGAGCGCGGCCGCTGGGGCCTTCGGTGGAGCTCCCTATGGGGCCACGAAGCGTGTGAGGGGTGTGCCGAATTGGGTGGGTGTGGGTGACGCATGCGAGCGCCGCCACTGGGGCCTCCGGTGGATGATGGGCCACGAAACCGTGAGGGATGTGCCGAAATTTGTGTGCGGGACGCATGCGCATGTGAGCGCCGCCACTGGGGCCTTCGGTGGAGCTCCCTATGGGGCCACGAAGCGTGTGAGGGGTGTGCCGAATTGGGTGTGCGGGACGCATGCGGGCGGCAGCACTGGGGCCTTCGGTGGGGCTCCCTATGGGGCCACGAAACGTGTGAGGGGTGTGCCGAATTGGGTGTGCGGGACGCATGCGGGCGGCAGCACTGGGGCCTTCGGTGGGGCTCCCTATGGGGCCACGAAACGTGTGAGGGGTGTGCCGAATTGGGTGTGCGGGACGCATGCGGGCGGCATCACTGGGGCCTTCGGTGGGGCTCCCTATGGGGCCACGAAGCGTGTGAGGGCTGTGCCGAAATGGAGGATGATGACGATGATGATGATGATGATGAGAAGGAGGAGGGAGGAGGGGGGGGAGGAGCGGGAGCGGGAGCGGGAGCGGGCGCTATCTCTTCAAAACGAGGACCCAACACCACAGGATGGTTGGGAATAACACATAGTCAAAACAAGTTCAGACATGATCAACAAATAATGAAAACATGTCCCCAGAATATATATATATGTATATATATATATATATGTATGTATGTGCATATATATATATATATATAGATCTTCCTCCTGTAGAGGGACACGCCCGACTTAAGCCTAGGAGCGATGGGGTTGTCCCGTCGGGGGCCTGTCGCCGGTCCATCGGCGATTCCAGGTCATTGCTTCCCCCTTGAGCCAGCCCCCTCCCCCCTTCGGCCCTTGGAGGACGCTTGGGCGGACGCGAGGTGCCGAAGAGGGCGGGGGGGAAGGGAGGAAAAGCTGTCCCCAGGGGAGGGGTCGAGACCTCTGGGGCCGAGGACTGAACGCATCGGATCGCCGAATGTCCAGCCAGGCGCCCCGCCGCTGCCCCCGCGTCCTCCCTGCTGTTCCTCCCTGTGCAGACCAGCAGGCATGACAACTGTGGGAGGCCCGCGCGGAGCTCCCAGGTCTGCGCTGGACCCCCTCGCCTCTAGCGGCGCCTCTGGCGACGCCCCTGGCGCGCCCCTGGGGCCCATCGCCGACCCAAGGAATCTGCGCGCACCTCCACAAGTTTGCCAGGAAGCTGGGCAGTCGACTAGGCGTATGAGTGACCTTTCGCCGGAGTGACCTCTGGTGCGGGCACAGAGGGGCCCCCAGACGGCTGAAAGAGACGCGGTAGCAGCGGCTTGCGCGCTTGCTTTTGGCCCACCCGCGGTCCCAAGAGGCCGCGCACCAAAGGTCACTCTTACCCAGGGTCACTCTTACCAGGGTCAAATTCTGCCGCTCCCTCCTCGGTGCATTTGGTGCCGGAGTTTGAGTTTTGCGGTTCGCTTCAGTTGACGTTCCAGCTTTCCTGGCGCAGCGTCGTTCGGGAGCACTGCCCTTTGTGATCTGACGCAGGCTGGCCAGAGGATTCATCATCTGAGCGGGGTTTGCGTCGCGCTGGAAAAACAAAATAAAAACTCTTGCGTGTAGCCGAGACAGGCCTGGCGCAGCCAGCCCTGGGCGAGGGCTGGGCACACACATGGCTGTCTTCCAGCGCTCGGCCCGCCCGTGGCCCTGCAGGCCCAGCTTCCGCGCGTGTGTCCAGCGCGTGGCCTCCGGATGCCCCGCACGCGCAAGCAGCCGCACGTGTGTGCATGTGGCCTGCCCGTCGGGTTGTCCCTGCACCCACTGCACCCCCGCGGAGGAGGCGGAGGAGGAGGAGGCGGAGGAGGAGGCGGAGGAGGAGCAGGAGGAGGAGGACGAGGAGCAGCAGCAGGAGGAGGAGGAGAAGGAGGAGGAGGCGGCCCAGGCCAGGGGCATGTGCATGGCATGGTCGGTCCAATGGGGTTCGCGCTCTTCTTCTGATGGACGGGCCGCGCGCGCGCTCTTCTCGCGTGGGGACGCTCTCCGCCTCGTCGCTGCGCGCGAGGCCGCGACCTGTCATGCTGACGCTGCCTTTGGTTGCTCTTCTTTCTCCTCGTCCTCCCCCTCGGCGCGCCGAGGGGGCGGCGCAAGGTGGGTGGCCTCTCGTGGAAGTGTGGGGCCTCTCGGGAGCCCTCCGGCCTTCCGAGTGGCCTTTCTCGGAACCGGCCAGGCCCTTCAATCAGCCCGCTGCCTCCTCAGAGCCGGAAAAGAGAATCTAGAACTTCTCGATGGGGTCGGAGTAGATGCGGAGTCCGATTTTCTCGATCCCGCCGTCGCCGATGCATTGCCGACTTCGCCGATGCATCGCCAATGCATGCCCGACGCATCGCCGATGCATCGGCGATGCGGCGCGACCCTCCGACCTCACCTATTCCGGCCCCATCTTGGCGACCTCTAGAAAAGCAGGAGCGGCACAAACAAAATCTTTCGGAGGTCCGCGCGAATTTCTCGGACCAGCGCTGGTCTCCACTCCCTGGGCGCGCGACGCGCGCCGCGGGCGGCGCCGGAGGCCTCGCCAGGGGGGGTTCAGTACCGATCCAAGGAACCTGCGCGGACCTTCGAAACGTACTATGTGTATGCCGTTCGTTGTTTCTCTCTCCACCCCCCTGACCATACCCCCTTGACGGCAGACCTCGGAGTGCAGCAGCAGCAGCAGCAGCAGCAGCAGCAGCAGCAGCAGCGCGGTGTGCGCGATCATGGCGCACGGCCCCGGCGAGGGACGTTGCCCCCCTAGGAGAGCTCAATGTCGGCCCGCCGGCCCCCGTCTGGAGCACGTTCTGTCCAGGACTGCGAGGCGAGCCCAGCCGTGGCGACGGGGGTCGCCACGGGGATGCCCCCCGAAGGCAAGCCACGTCCAGATGCCCACCTCCTCCCGCCGTTGGCCCGACCCCGCTCCTCGACTGCGGGCCGGCCCAGCCTCCGAGAGGTGATGGTGGAGCGGCTCGTGCCGGAGGAGAACCAGAGGACCGCGACTCGCCGCTCGGATGCTCCCTCCTTCTCTCTCTTCGCCCCGTGGTCTTTCTTGCCCCTCCTGCGGACGCTCCAGTGGGAAGGGCTCGAGGGCCTGCTGACGCTGCGGCGCTGCAGGCCCGCAGCTCGCAGCTCGAAGAGGGCCGCGACCGGGCGGGCGCTGCAGGGCCACGCCGGCCGAGCTCGGTCGCTGCGCGGCGCCAGAGCCGGCGTCCGGGGGGCACGCCCTGCCCATCGGCCCGACCCTTGGCCTGCGTCGCGAGGGCTTTCTGTTGGAGCGCCGGTCATGGCCAAGACGCGGTCGCATGCAATGGGGGCGCGCATCGAGAAACCGGGTGTTTTTCGCCAGGGGTATCCTGGGTTTCTTCGCTCCTCGCGCTGCGCGGTGGCTTCCCGCAGCCGTCGAAGGAGCTGCTGCGTTCAGGGTGCTCCGGGTTTCCCCTCAGATGTACCTCGCGCGCGGGTTCTCAGGGTTGGGTTTCTTGCGGGGGTTTCTTGCGGCCGCGCCCGCACTGTAGTTCCGTTGGGGTCACGGGGCCAAATCGGGGTCGCACCAGCCCGTTGGGCTCCCGAGGGCTCCCCCGAGGGCTCCCGAGAGGTCACATAGCGTGCCCGCCAACACGGGTGTGTGACCGCCACAAGCTGGCAACGCTGTAAAATGGACGTAGCCCTGTTGGGGGATCGACGGTGGGACCCTAAGGGATGGGGCCCTGAGGATTTGAAAGGGCTTCCATGTGGAAGTTGCATTGTTCAAGACCTCCTCGCCCTGAGGCCCAGTGTCTCAGGGCCCCATTTTTGGAATGCCGACTGGCCGTCGAGGGAAAATAACACGACCCGCAGTTCTGGCTTGTTCAGGGCCTTGACAGGTAGTCTTGGGAGATCTCCTCCAGAGATGGGGTCGAGGGCTCCCGCCGTGATTTTTCAGAGCAGCTGTCGCTGTGCAGGTTCCGGCTTCAAGCCCAGCGCCATCGAAAAGCCCCCACCTGGCGAGAAGCAGGTGTGGGGCGGCAATTCAAGTAGCAGTTTTGAAGCAGGAGGGAAACACAGCCAAAAATAATCGTTATCGCCGATGCCCAGGAACCTTGGGGAAACACGGGAAGTGGAGGGGAAGACGAACCCTCAGAACACATGGAAAGCAATGCGGGATCCTGGGATTTATTTCTATGGGGAGACGGGGAGGCCTGAGGAATACCTCGTCGCTTTCGCGCTGCGGACAAAGCATGATTCAATGCTTTCGTTTTTTGGGGGGCTGCGCAGCAGCTCCCACGGGAAGGGGGCCCAGACCGCGGGGGGGGGGGGCACGCTGTGACCAGGGCACGACGTCGGACGCGGGGGGGAGGAGGGGCGATGAGACGAGGAGGCGGCCCTGGGCGCAGGAGCCGCCTACTTCCCCCTCCTCCTCCGCCTCCTCCTCCCCCGCTTCCTCGCGCCGCCCTGTCGGCCCCCTGCTGTGCCGGCGCCCCCCCCCCCCCCCCCGGTGGGGCCCGCAGGATCGTCGAGGTGGAGTGCGAGCTGCTCGAGGAGAGTGTCGTGGAGGTGCCCGAGGCCGGGCGCTTGTGGGCGGGAGGAGGCAAGGGGACTTTGGCGACTCCTGGCTGGGCGCTTCTTGCTCCTGGCTGGCTCGGCGGGCGTGGGATTCGCACAATGGGGGGCGCTCGGGCTTAGGACCATCGAGAGCAGAAGAGCCCCTGACCCTCATAACACGATGAAGACGTGGCCTCACGGAGGTCCCCGTCTTCGCATGCGGGATACTAATCCCGGGCGGTTTGGTTCGGTACATCTGCAGCAAAGACTCCCTAACCCTAAATTTTTGGCCCTCCTAACTTAGGTCCCCTCCTAAAGGGTTAGGGGTCCTTTTTCGGTTAATCATCGGAGTTCGGGCCCCGGTCCAGCAGGCCCCGGCTCTTGCTCCAGCTCTGGCCCGGCGGGCGTGGAGCAGGCGGCGCAGGCGGCGCTCGCGGCGCAGCGGGAAATTACGACACCCGTTGCACCCACACCGCAGAATACGCTGAATCAAATATATCCACGACGTGGACCAACTTCAGTACTTTGAATCAATGACTGTTAAACTGCGTAGAACTGCAAGAACTCAATCAAACTGGAACATAACTGCGTTGAACATGCAAGCCGCACGCAGCCAATGTCTGTGTCGAGAGCCTTCGCGCTCGACGGGCGGAGCAGACCGCAACGGCCTTGGCAGCCTCTCGCGCCCCTCGGTCGCCGGGCTCGGCCCCCCGCCCCCCCCCCCCCGCGGGACCATCGCCTGGCGACCCGCTCCCCCGCTGCCAAGGAGGAGGAGGAGGAGGAGGAGGAGGAGGAGGAGGAGAGGAGGAGGAGGAGGGGGAGGAGGGGAGGAGGGAGGGAGGAGAGGAGGAGGAGAGGAGGAGGAGGAGGGGAGGAGGAGGGGGAGGAGGAGAAGGAAGCAAAGACGGGGAGGAGGAGCTCCCCGGGCTCTTCTCGGGCGCCGTGGGCCGAGGAGGCCCGGACGGGGCGCCGTTTTCTGTGCGATGGGCCTGTTTTCCGCCGCCGCCGCCATCAGTTGGAGGGGGAGGGGGTCCTCGTCCTCCTCCTCCTCCTCCTCCTCCTCCTCCTCCTCCTCCTCCTCCTTCCCCCCATCCAACTTATGGTGGTGGTGGTGGTGGAAAACAGGCCCAGCATTGTCAGTCTTGGCGGGGGGGGGGTGATCGGAGGAGCGGGATGCGTGGATGACGAGTCCGGGTCACTTTGGATCGGGTCGGTGCGGATCGATGTCGGTCTTGGACGAGGCCGATCTGGGCCGCTTTCGACACTCCGACGATCCGATGGGGCCCGATGCTCGCACGGCGCTGTTGCGCATCCTGGCGCGGCCGATCCGATTCGATTCCGACTCTGTAGCCCTTTTGGCTGAGCTTTTTGGCTCAAGTCATTTGTATATCAATTCGATTGGGCTCAAACCAGATTGGGCTCAAACCGCTGCGATGCCGCATACTTTTTGGATGCCCGACATCTGGCGAGGGTCTCGAGAAGGCGTTGTTTCCTCAGAAGTGAACGTCAAGAAGCAGAATCGGTCAAAACAATGGAGTCTAGCACTGCAATTGCCCAGCGAAAGAATTCAATCGAGTGCGAAACTCTCCCCAGGCCGCTACATAGTGGCCGTCAGCGCAAGCAGAAAAGGCGGGCAATGGCAACTGGGGCTGTCTCTGCTCAGTGTGATGTGGGAGTCGCAGATTGAGCCCAACATCATCTGCACTATAATTCAGGTCGCGGCGCGTGCGAAACGGGCGAGTTCCTGGCGCGCCTCGGTGCGTTCCCACGACGGCTAGACGGCCCCAGGACAGTTATGATGCGCTCAGGAGGACCCGAAGACTGGCCAGGAAGCTCCACAGACGACTCGCGAAGACCCCGATGGATGCCCGCCGAGGCCAAAATCAACAACACAAACAAATCATGCAGATTTTGAAGCTTTTCAGGTTCTCGACATAGTGGGCCCAGAACGGCCCTACAAAGCTCCAGGTCCTTCCCATATCGCCCCAAGACGGTCCAAGAGGCTCCGCCAAGAGGCTCCGGAGAGGGCACCAAGACGACCCCAAGACGGCCCACGAGAGGCCAGTGACGGCCTCACAGTGCTTCAAGTGGTTTCCGTGACAGCTCTAAGATGGCTCCAGGAGCTGCCCAAGAGGGCCCAAAGCGGGCTCCACGACGGCCCCCAAAATGGCCCAAGAGGGCCCCAAGAGCTGTCCAAGAAGGGCAATTCCGAGATGTCCTAGAGCCGCCCAACAGGCTCCGACAGTTGCTCAGGAGCTCCCAAGAGAGCCTCCAGCCCCAGTGCCTTTCGCCGCTTCTGGATTACCAGGAGCCCCATAGAAAGCCCCAGACCCCAAAGCCCCAGACCAACCACTCCTGGATGCCCCAGCACCCCAAGAGACTCCGAGAGTTGCCAAGGAGCTCCCAGGAGAGCCTTCAGCACCGGCACATTTCGCCGTATTTGGATCTTCAGTAGCCCCAAAGGAGAGCACCTCTCCCTGTTCTCCTCCTCCTTTTACACCTCTCTCGACAGTGCCGCTCTCCTCATCCTTCTG